CCCCAAAACCCCAAAACCCCAAAACCCCAAAACCCCAAAAACTTAATCTTAATTGAATTTTTGAGAGTCAGTATAATCCTTAAGTTCATCTATGATTTTGTACTTCTCTCCTAATGCTTTGCATATTTTAGCCATATTCCCGATATCATTCGCCTGGAGGTCTATAAGGCTCTCATATTCCTTAAAATATTCAGATAGGTTAAATGGTTTCAGCTTCTTAATGAACTCTTGATCTTCGAGGCTCTTCACTAGATCCTCTCGCGAGATCTGCTGGGAGTTCTTCCAGTTAGAGATGGGAATTTTAAGATTTGAGTGCTTTAACATCTTGAACATTCTTTTATCAACATAACCATCTCCATCAAGATCTCACATATCAAAGAAGGTAATGAATTTTATTCCTTAAAGGAATTTTGTTTCATCATCTGAATTCCCAGTATAAATTCGAGATAGTCGAGATCGCCTGAGTCATCCTTATCAAGTACCCAAAAGATTTTTATTCCAACGTTTCCTTGTCTTTGCCGAGGCCAAAGTTGTCCATCATCCTGCTAAATGTTTTCTTGGAGAATGTTAACTCTACAATGGGTTTATACACACAGAAGTACCTTCTTCGTTGATCTCTCTCTTTTCAGTTAAGATTTGCCCGTTTAAGTGTAATTTCAGGGAACTAGTTTGCTTAACCTTTATGTTGATCAACCACTTTTTGAACTTCTCATAATTATTCGCCATGAAATTTACATACTCAGGCTTGTTGGCTACGATCCAATTCCAGGTATTTTTCTTCAGTTTTTGGATCAAGTCTCGTTCAATATACGTCTTAATAGCTTTATCTAGACCCTGTCGATTATAGCCATTAGATTTAGAGCAAAGTAGCAGATTTCATTCTGATATCACAGTCTGGTTTATCTAGAAAACATGAGATAGGGACATACCTCAGCCAGCTTATCATTCGCCAATGACCATTGCTTGGATTTTAAGATCACAGAATTTGGAATTTGGAAAATTATAGAATTCGGATCGATATTACTTGAGTTTTTACTGAGTAATTTTGTAATCAATTTCTTATTTTTCTTCCTTCCTTTTGTTAAGAGGCTTCTGCTTTGGAAGGAAATTTATCCTTGAAGCTGTCTGAGTGACTGAAGTAGCATTCATCCTGTTTCGAGATCCTAAGTCAGACCTAAGATCATTTATAGCAGAGGGCTTTCTTTGAAAAGAGGCTTTGAAGATACTGTGGAAGGACTGCTTTTTCTCCGCATATGTGCTAAGCTTATGACTATTTCTCCTGTAATCTAGGAAGGAAACAATTGGTTTGATCGATCTTTTCTCTACTTCTAACTTCCCTACAGCCTTCTTCGGCAATGGTGGTTTAGCTAAAAAAGGTAATCTTGGAAAATACCATTATGAAGAATTTTCTGAAATGCCTCAGATCCTCTCTTTGCAATTTTGAGGATTTTCAGGTTCTTCAATTTCTTAGAGTTCTTCTTCAAAGTTGCCTTATTGAGTTTTGCAAAGTTAGATCTTTTTTGTCTAAAGATCTCTATTCAAGATCGAGCTTGGCCGCTGCCTTGCTTCAGAATTTGTTGAGCTTAGCCTAATTTGAGAGTAAAATCCATACCTAATCTTAAGTTTACGTTCGGATGATGTTTTAGAGTCAAGTTTCGGAAAAGCAGGTACCTGCTTAGTTGAAGCATCAAGAGATCGTTCTAAGTATTAGATCTAATCCTTCAAGATGCTTACCTTTGATCATCATGGACGCCATATGCTGGCGGCTTCTGTATGAAGAAGTTTGCTTCACTGCTTTAGTGAGCCCATCGAAAATATTATTGTCTTCAGCCCTTACTCTATTAAAAGAGTTATTAAAAAAACTTTGATCCAACTGTTGGAAGGGGCTTCATAGCAATGAGGAGCTTCAAAATAAACTTCCTTACCTAGTCCTCCTACTGGCTTTGGCAGCGAAGCTGCTCAGATTATATCTTTTAGGTGTAAGTTCCCTTTCCATATTGAATAACTGAATGATTATTAAATTCCATAATCTCTTTCTCAAAAGGGGTTTTGGGGTTTTGGGGTTTTGGGG